GGGAAGGGAAGGGAAGGGAAGGGAAAGGATCCGCCGCCTTGAAAATGAGAGACGTTTGTGCGGACAGGGCCAACGTTGTCTCTCCTCTTTTCCCACAGGCTTCCATTATGCCACCAGTGTTCATGAGGTCTAGAAAGTTGCTTTCGTTTAAGAATTGAGGGCCTTAGAGTATCTCACTGCCTTTCTTCCCCGACCAGGCCTACGGAATCGGAGGATTGCGGAAGAGGCAGGATGCTGCCTTGCTGGAGGACCGTGACAAACCCTATGTTTGCGACAGTGAGTTTTTTCTGGGGGGGGACAGGACATTTCTGGGCCATTGCTTAGAGGGGTGCGTGGGTGGTTTGCCCTCCTCCCCAACCAGGCTGGCTTCTGTTAGCGAGCTGTGATGTCCACATGGCGTCCTGGGGAGCTGAGAGGCTGCAGCCCCCCCAGCTGCAAGAGGAAGTGGAAGTGAGCACACTCAGGGCGGCCAGGAAAATGCCCAGGGTAGGGCTTTCTGGGGGACGGGGGCACTTTTTGGCAGCCACCAAAGCAACCTTAGATAGAGGAAGTGGAAAAGAAAAGCCTACTGTTTTTAGGATAGCAGAAAAGTTCCGGAACTTTTGGGGTGCCAGCTGGGCCTCCCTTTGGGGTCCATCCTTGACTACTTTTGTTGCTTTTCAGTTTGCGGGAAACGCTACAAGAATCGCCCCGGACTAAGTTATCACTACACGCACACCCACTTGGCGGAAGAGGAAGGTGAGGAGGGGCCGGAGCGGCACACTCTGCCCTTCCATCGCAAGAACAACCACAAACGTGAGTGCCTCCCTGCCCTTTGGGCCAGCGCTTCGCCCCTGCCTTTAGTCCATGCTGCGCGCCAAGGCCAAAGCACAGGACTGTGGCTTTCAAGGTCGGGTTAAAGGATGGCAGGATAATGCCAGGGACGTCCTGTGAGTACGTAGAGGGCAGAAGGACTGTGAGGGATCTACAAGTAGGCAGCAGCAGGCTTTCTGATGTATACAAATGCTGGGGGAAGGGGTCATGGGTCTGCGGCCCCCAGCCTGCACGAGGAAGGTCTCAGCTCCAGGTCCTGTCCGAGTGCCCGGTCGGTTGGCCGTCCAAGGGAAGCCCCTGCCCCAAACCGTCCCTTTCCCCCCAGCGATTAGCCGTTGCCCTGAAAATGTGCCCGAGGTCCTGGGTCTTTTGTCTTGACCGTTTCAGAGGCCTTCCAGTGCAGAAAATGTCCTGGAGGCCACCCCACCCCTGAAGAAGAACATGTACACAACAGAGCTGCAACAGCTGCATTTTGTAAAACTGCAGCGGCCTGATGCCCCGGCCTGTGGATCTGGGCTTTTTGGGTCCCAAAGTTGGCACGTTCCAGACAGGCAGCCACTTTGTCCTCCCCAGAAAGGGGCCCCGCTCACCCCACACTGAGGGGGCGCTCCATGCCGAGCATCGCCCATCCTGATGCAGTTGCCATGGAAACACAGAGGGCGAACTTGGCAGGTGGAAGATTTCCAGCTTGGACGTATTGGAGGGTGGGGAGGACAGGTCTGGGAGACACCGAGGCTGGTTGGGGAATAGGAGCTGGGCGGGGTGGGGGGGAGACTTAATGCTTGCACATACGCACACGGGTCAGCCTCTGGCTCCCCGGAAGGCTTGGGGGCTGGGTGTGCAAACAGAGGAGGACACTTGTGGGCGCCCACGGCACTTTGGAAGAAGCTGCTCCCGCCTCTCGGCTTGTGTGTGTGTGAGGGCGTGTGTGTGGGATGAGTTTCAGGGAAGGGAAGGGAAGGGAAGGGAGGGGCCGCGGGCGCCCGGGCACCTGCAGCTGTGGAAGAGGAAGGGCTCTTCCCTTTCTGTTCGGGAGAAGGGGAGCTGGAAAAGCCTCTGCAGGTGGGCACGACCGGATTTGGATCCCTTCCCTAAACCTGAGGGGAGGGGGAGAGAGAGAGAGCCCTCCTCTGCCCCCTCCCCAACAAAGACATCCCATCCCTTGTCTAGTCGGTTGCCATGGAGACGCCAGCGCGTTGCTGCAGCAGTGTCTGCACAAAGCAGCGAGGAGGCTGGGGGAAGGGGCCGTTGGAGCCGCAATCCCTGGAGAAAAGGGGCCGGGGCCTGCTGGTCCCCCAGCCCCTGCGGAGACCCGCCTTGTTCTCTTGCTCGCACGCCGGCGTGGGCATCTTCTCCGCCTCGAAGGCGCCGGGTCCGCTTTCGGTGGCCGCCCCTCTTGGGCCTCCCTCCCCACAACCCCTTCCGTTCCTTCGTTCCGTTGCTCGATTTTCGGCTTATCCAGGCAGGCCAGAGATCCCGAGAGCGCACGCAGCCCCTCCAGGCTCGGTTCCTATAAACTGGTTCAAATAAAATATATTCCTTTTTTTTCTTTTCTATGCTTATTTCCATCTTTCCCTCTTTCTTTTGGCATTTCTGGCTTCCTCTAGAGTTTTACAAAGAACTGAACTGGGTCCCAGAGAACCAGCGCAGGCACACAGGTAAATCCCACAGCAGCGCTGAGAGGCCGGAGGCCTGGGAGCGGGCGGCTGCCGCGGGACCTGCCTGGGCCCTTGCCCGGAGGGCCCCCCGCGTGGCCTTCCCTCCCATTTCCCTCAGGGACTTCTCCAGAGTTTTTGGGAGGGTGGAGAGGAAGGGAGCCCTTCCACCTGCCTGCCAGCCGGAGAACAAAGTCGTGCAGGCAGAGTCTCCGTTTTGGATCCTCTCGGTCTTCCGAATATTCAGGGTCCCGTGAAGAAGCTGCGGTGAAGGGTAGAGAGCGGAAGGGGGAAAGAGGCTTTGGGAGCAGGGCAGGCAGCTTCCATGGGAAAGCTGCACGATCTCATGCAACGTACCCAGCTGCCAATACAGGCTGGCAGCGGGTTGCTGCTGCCGGCAAAGTGCTGGCCTGGGCGTGGAGGGGGCCTGCTTCCTTTGGGCCTTCCTTTGCTGTGTGTGAAGCGTTCAGGCTGAGGCGGAGGGGCGCGTGAGCAGAGCAAGTCTCCCAGCCCTGGGGGAGCAGTTTGGGAGCGAGTGAGTGCGCGTGTGGCCTGCTGGATGTGGCAGCCCCCCAGCCGGGAGGATTGGATGAAAGCAGAGGGACATGTGGGCCCACCCTTGATTTCGACCTCTCCTTGCTGTTTTGCAGCTAAGAAAGCTCCGGATGGCACAGTCATACCAAACGGTTATTGTGATTTCTGTCTAGGCGGCTCCAAGAAGACCGGCTGCCCGGAGGACTTAATCTCCTGTGCCGACTGTGGACGGTCAGGTGAGCGGCTTGAGCCTGGCGGGCACCGGGAGGACGTCTCCAGCAGAGCTTGGGTGAGGGTGCCTTGGGTGGACCAGGTGGGCAGAAGGCAGCTGTGGTATTCGGGGCCCATCTGCTACCTGCTGCACCCAAAGCTTTTGCTTCTCCGCTTCTGGAGGAGGGGAGGGAACCGTGTGGCTGTCGGAGACTTGGCAGCTACGCAAGGCACAGCGAATGGGGCTTGCTGAGGCCCTGCTAAGCTTGGCTTTTTGGCGGCTTGGGACGGTGAGCGAGCCCAACACCTCGGGGTTTGGTGGAATGTATTTTCCGAACCCCCAATGCGAACCAACACTCCCTGTTGTGGGAGCGCAGCCAGCTGGAGCCAACTATGCTGGCACGTAGGGGAGGACTCACTAGAGGGAGGAGCGCCTCTGGGTACAGGCAGGGTGCCTTCAAGGTACTGTCACAAGGGCCCACTTGTGCCCCTGGAAGCTCGGGGGGAACGGCACGAGGGCCCTTTGTCGCTAGCTGCACGTGCTCTGGATAGTTGCTGTCTTTGGTTGGGGTGCTGGACGCTGGCCCGCCCGCGTCCTCCAAGCAGGATCAGGGTTCCCTGGAGGCCAAGCTTGGGCCGCTGCCCAGTCCCTCGGGACATTTCCCGGGCTTCCACTTAAAGGTCATTCCGGATGGAAGCCCAGCCTTGCAGATCAGAGCCGCGGAGGCGGGGGGCAGCGCCGCCCACCTCAGGGGCCGCTCGTTCTTCCCATCCAGGGCACCCGTCGTGCCTGCAGTTCACGGTGAACATGACGGCCGCTGTGCGGACATACCGCTGGCAGTGCATCGAGTGCAAAAGCTGCAGCCTCTGTGGCACCTCCGAAAACGACGTACGTGAGCTGAGCCGCCGAGCTTGGAAAGGGTTGTCGGCTGGCTTCTCTGGAGCTGCGTCCCACGTCCGCCGGGCTCCACGCGCCCTGGCCTGGTGAAGGCGCAGTCTTTTCCCGCGACTCAGCACCCACCCTTCCTCTAGAGCAAACGTGGCTCCCTCACAGGCTGGCGGCAGGCCCAGTCTGGGGGCTGCTTCCTCTGCCCCCTTGGAGCAGGGGTCCCCGATGCGCCTCTCAGCTGCGGCCCTTCTCTTGCTCCCCCCTTAGGACCAGCTGCTCTTCTGCGATGACTGTGACCGCGGCTACCACATGTACTGCCTGAGCCCACCAATGGCTGAGCCCCCTGAAGGTAAAGGACGCCCAGCCTGGGGGGGGGCGGGGGGAGGCCAGGCCGCGAGAGGGACCGTGCCCATTTCTGCTTGCAGGTAGCTGGAGCTGTCACCTGTGCCTTCGGCAGCTGAAAGAAAAGGCCTCTGCCTACATCACCCTGACCTAGGCTGCAGCCTTACCCCCCCCATCCTGCTTGGGCAGCCTTGAGACCGTGGCCCCCGGGGGGGGCAGAATCGTGCTGCAGGTCGTGCACAGGAGCAATGCCTGCCACTCCAGGTGGGGGAGAACCCTCCACCCATGGCTAAGAGGAGGATTGAGGCCTGGCATCCCAAAATGTTGGCGGGGGCTCCTGCAGTGGGGACTGACTCCTGCCACCTCCTGGCCCCAAACTAGGCTACCATGAGAGGAGCCAAAGTCAACACAAAGCCATATGCCAGGGAGGGAGCAGAGACCCAGCCCCTCTGCCCTGGCCCGGGGGGAGCCCCTTCCCTCCCCCTCGACTGATGCATGTGAAATTGTTTGCCTTTGCTTGCAAGTCTGGAGCCTGGCCACTCCTGGGAGGATGGGCATCCTGGCCATGGAGCCCCACCTCCCCTTTCGGAACAACTTGCAAGGCATTTGACAGGAGTTGGGACTGGCAGGTGGGGTGGG